CTGATACAACATAAATTTAATAGGCTCTCATTCAAGAACAAATTTTGCTCCCTTTCTCAGGTATTATTTCTTCCCTTTTCATCTTTTCCCTCTTCCCAGTTTCAATTTTTCTTCCAGATTCTGCTTATCACCAAAACAAAAATAAAAAATAAAAAAATTGTAGTTATTAGTTGGAAGTCAATTACTATAGTATTACATTTGTACTGATATTGCAAATGTAAAACCCAAAGTAATAACCTCCCTTATGAGTTTCCTGTTTCATAGCTCATATTTAATGCTTTCAATAGTATTCAATCTTTCATAGATATAACATGGACCCAGGAGTATGCTTTTACCTTAATCCCCAACATCATCAAAATATCGCCACAGTAGCTGTTTTCTTTTGTTTTCTTTTTTTTGGCTTTCTTGTTTTTTAAATTTTAAATAGTACCATCAAAGTTTAGTTTCTATGAATAAAGTTTTTCATATTGTTTTTGCTAAATGTATAGTCATTTCACCTGAGTTTCAGAGATAATTGTTCCTCTTTTAATATTCAGCAACATTTTTTGTCCCTATAACAGCTTTTCTGTCAAAAAATAATTGTCCAACTGTACTTTGCACATTAATAATGCCTGCTAACTGATTTAATGTCTTCATTGCGCTTCGCTAAAGGGCCCTAACAAATTTACACATGACTCTACTTCTACTATCACAAGACTGTTGTTTTTCTTTTCATTTGTTCTTCATTTTGTTTTAGTTTGGAAAATACAAACTTTATTATGGTTCCACTGTTTATAAGTTTGTGCTCTACGTTCAGTCTTTGTCCTAACTTCCTGTTACAACAGTTTCTTAATGCTTTGTTTCTACAACAAAAGCTCATTTACGCAGCTAAAAGGGGAATTTTACTCCACAGTGCTGCTTTCGTTCGATTCGTTTTCCCCTTTTGTCTAAACTGCTGAAACAATGTTGCAAGTCCCTCATTCAATCAGCCCTATTCATAAAAATTCAACTAACCAAGTACTTTGACTTAATATTCATCTTATCCTGCAGCTACTACTATTTGGTGAACTATATTTTCTACAAACATGGTACTAAGAGTGAACATCAACCAAATTGAACCAGCAACACGAGATTGGATATGCAAAGTTCAAATTGTCGAAATAGGACGCCCACGAGAAAGCCTTGACAAGAAATGTACATTCCAAAATTTGATTTTGGAAGATGAAGAGGTGAGATCATTGTTATATTTTATGTTATCACTATTGCTCTTTTCCTCTCAACTTAGTTAATCTCAACTTTCTATAACTCTTACTTTCAGGAATGCCAAATTAAGGCTGTTATGTACGCTGACGAAATTGAGCAGTATGCAGCTACACTTAAACTTTTCCATACCTACCTGATCTCTACTGCAAGAGTGAAAGCCTCCCAAGCTTCATATGGCAAGCCAATACATAAATTTTATTGGACTCTTGACAAAGAAACAGTAATTGAACAAATCAAACCATCTCACGAAGTTGAAAATGCACTTCCACCGCCAACGAAGCTGAATATCACAACCTTTGACCACATTCCTCATCTGATGGTTGATTCTGCTGCTGAAATAGGTATATCCACCGTAATAGCTATTCTCAGACTGAAATATACATCTGCACTGCTGCAAAACACTTGCAACAATTCATTATATATATTACATACGCAGATATACTAGCAATTGTTCTTCGTTGTGGTCCTCAAAAAAACGCCGGTCGCAGTCATCATAGGTGTCGAGAAATTACCCTTTGTGACAATCAGTAAGTATAACATTTCACATTCTCTTTACCCCTTTTCTGCAAATATTTCGAATCAGTAACCACTTATTCCCTTTCTATGTTCACATCATCAATTATCATCTAACTATTAGCATGGTACTTACTTTTCTGTCTTTATGTTCTCACACTGTCAGGAAAAGTCAGTTTCTGTTCACTCTATGGGAGGATTTCGGTGAAATAGAAGGACATGAAATTGCCTCTAAAATGGCAACAGAACCAGATCTGCTTGTCATCCTCGCAAGAAGTATAGGAATCTCTACTTATCAAGGTACATAGACAATCAACTTCTTACCAACATAATGTTATACAATAACAAAACAATGTACAACCTATATTTTATACAGGGTTGTCGCTGCAAACTAGATACAATTCCACACTACGTGTGAATCCCAATTACCCACAGGCAGTGGCACTCATCAACTGGTACTGACATCTCATATTTATTGTACAGCTTTAAATTACATCTAACCAAGCTACTAAACATATTATCTGTTGTAACAATAGGGCAAAAGAGAACAAAACAATGTTGTTAGGTTGTCCATCAGAGAAAACCTCAACAAGCTCATCTACCGCTCCCATGATACTCACTACTGGTGGCCAACAACTTCTCTCTATTGCAGATATCTCATCAGCACCTTCTGTAAGTCACACTTGAAGTTGCTCATTTGAGAGTATCCTTGTTCAATTTCTCATTCTGTAGCTTTGCTAAAATAATCATAACTTCCCACAGATGGGAATGTTCTATGTTGAAGCAGAGATGGCCATATTAGATGATTTCCAAGACTTTTGTGTGCTTGAATGCTCAGGATGCAAACAGAAGAAGCGGACAAAGGATAGAAAGGATTTTGACTGTCCAAAATGCAATCGGAAAACAGCCTTAGTGCCTCGGTACTATACTTTTGAATTCTAAATTACACTTTCTACAAAATATAGCATATACTATACACATATTTGAAACTTCCCTTCATTTCAGCTGTAGCTTCCAAATTGATCTTATTGACAA